AGGTCACAACCAACTGTTGGCAATTTGCCAAACCTCAGCTTGAACTTTCGTGTAAAAGCTGCTTGCGTCGTTTTCACAATCGAAGGGAACTATGCCGCCAGTTCTGCCATTCACTGAAGTAATTCGTGATAGTCGACTTTTCTGTGATCTCCTACCACTAACTCACTAACTCACATATCTACCCACTATCTGTTCAATTCCCTTCCTCTCTCTACTTTTCCCTCCTCTTCCTTCCACATAAAAGAGGCTGCTGGATTGGAGCACAGCGCCGACGCGGGCCATCGCCTTTCGCTCCGCCCTGCCGCCGCGGCGCCGTGAAGAAACCGCGCCGCATACGCGCATGGGTGAGTTTTTCCCTCCTCCGCAGGGCACATCGTTGTTGGGGAATCCCCAATAGGGGATCGTATTTGGTCGCCAGGAGGGGGGGGTCGTATTTGGGCTGGGAAAAATTTATTTTGATAGTTGATTTTTCTCGCTTCATGGACGTTGTAAAGGGGTCGTACTTGGTCATTTTTGGGAGGGGGGGGGGTCGTATTTACGTTTTGGCGTTGTGGGAGTGGCGGTTGACTTTTGGTGATTTTCCTGTTTCACGTACTATATGCCCCCCCCCCCTCCCCGCCCTCTTCTCCGATTCGATGAGGAAGGACAGGAGAGGGCTGGGGGGGGGAGTCGTACGACTCGACTAAAATCCGCAACCAATGATGTGCCCTGCTCCTCGCAATCACGACAGCGTCCGTCATGGAGGACACTTCCATTTCATTTTGTTCATTCTTTTTATGATAATTGTTAAAGTTTTTCAGTTAACCCAAAAGAATTCTGCTTGGGCTCAGAAAACTGGACGATCCAAGCTGCATTTTTTTTGCGAGAAGGCTAGACAGATCATCCATCGTTGGAGATCCGAAGCTCAATCACACCGCGTTTGACATCTCCGCGGAATACAATGCACGCGATAGCATCAGCGTCATTTAATGGGCCATTTTTGGAGCTCGAATACTGCTGAAATGTGTCAATTCAAAAAGCTGTGCATTAAACGAGAAAATCGGGGAGCTTCAGCTTACTTCATTCGCTGGATTGAACTCGAATGGAGCTTTTTAGTTTCGTTTCCTGAAGTACCGTGAATTGGAGACACATTTATTCAGGCTCATCATGTTGGAATTTCGCGTGATTTGACCCACTAAATACGCTACCGACTACTCGGATTAGAAAATTTGTCTTCTGTACTCATATACAAATGATTTCTAGACATGACTACAGGGTGGTTATCGATCATTGGCACAGACATCAAAAGTCTGCGTCCATCCCTTGGGTTGTCAGGATGAAGTAGTACGCTACTTCTTGGCGTCCAAAGCCCATCTATTCGCAGGTCTTGAAGGCATTTGGTACGATAAATCTCTAAGAAGAGTAGGATTGATACCGACATGCAGGACAGGATCCTACTACCTTAAGCGGGTGCTGCGTGGCGCCTTTCCTGAACCTACCACGCCTGCCGCCCACAAATGGACGACCGTACCTGATGCTCGTATTGCTTCATTTGCGAAGTAAAATATGAAGCGAAGGGATTGGTATGAAGCGGCTGCGGTGCTGCATGGATATATGAGAACATACATGCAGCCGTACCCACCGTAGCGGTTATTGGCAAGATGTCTACGGAAAACTCGTCCGAAATTGTCATTAAGAACGAAGGTTTTTCTTCGCAGGTTTTAGACCGTTTCACTTCGTTATTCGCCATTTTCCGCTAATTGGTCAAGTGTGCCTTTTTATTTCTTGTCCCATGCCCTTACTTATCCTCACCTTGACTGGACCTCTCCCAGTCGTTCTTCAGGTCGAACCGAATTTTCGGACAGACAAACAAACTTACAAACTAACAAACTTACAAACAAACAAACAAACACAAACACCAAAGGACAAAGCGAATTATATATATATGGGGTGATATTTTACTTCAACAACTGCGTTGTCTAGTAAAAAAGCACTTATGGGCTAATATGTGGAATCCGCTCTGTACATTCATCCTTCTTCTTATTCTCCTTCTTTCTCAGTGGATATAAAGGAATCGGGAGTTCCGAGCACCGCCAAACGGCCGAAGATCAGGGACGTCGCCGTATTCGGGAAGGAAGCAAAAATCAGGTGGGCGGAGCACGCCATGCGATTTTATGATGACTTTGGAAAGCAGTTACAGACTGGATTCGGTAGCACGTCCAAGAAACATCAGGATGACCGTTAACCCAATGGCCGGACACGACAAGAATGACTGTCTGCATGTATAGTCTGTAACAGTATGATCAGTCAGGACGGTATGGCCCTGACTTCGCCTGCCTTGCTCTACCAATAGTGGTCGAGTAGAGATCCATTTGGGAAGAAAAGAGCAAGCGTAGAAAGGCCGCATGTGGGGACCGCTGATGCGACCCGACCGATGGCGGTGTTATCAACTGCACCCCGAGCAAGCGGAGTCCACCGGACTAAATTCCCGCAATCGAGACGGATTGAGAAGTAATCAAGCAGCATTCCATGGTTCACTCTACTAATGGGGAATACTGTTACGATAGCGAAACTGGGCACTAAAGCAAGGACTGGCGGCTGTCCTGATATTTCCGACTATGAAATTTATGCAATATCGTTGCATCGTAGCAAATACAACGTACCCATCTGCCCAGGGCACATCGTTGGTTGGGGAATCCCCAACAGGGGGGTCGTATTTGGCCGCCAGGAGAGGGGGGGTCGTAGTGAGTGCGGCAGCCAGTAACGAGCAGCGCAAATTGTCAATGTGCTGAGTCCTGTACAACGAAACTTGCTTTGTAGAGAACTCGGATATGCAAAAAAATAGTACAAAACTTTCATTCATCAAACTAATCCGAAATAACTGCAAATAATAAGTCGACATTATCTCGTAAGTCCGTTGGTGACTAAACAGTACAACTCAAACTCTGGTTCGCTGCCAATGATATGGCGTGTCCGCGGTCGCGCTTGGCGCTGAGCCAACCTGTTTTTTTCTCGACAAGCGACAGGACTACCATATCGTTCGTATAGACGTTTTCCAGCAGTTGGTCTCCTTTATCGGAGTCAGCAATTGGCGGAGCACGAATCTGGCAGCGTCGACAGGGACATGTTCCATCATACGCAACGGAAACACTGTAAACAAGTGCACAGGCTCGCCATGGACCTCCCTGAACCCTATAGACACATTTGCTCGCGTGGACAGACATTACGCACAAGTTGCACCATCCCATCACTTCTGCGCGGACCTCAGTGCGCGGCGCATCCAAAGTCAGCGTGATCGGCGCTAAACGAACCATATTCTGCTCCTGCTCCACCACAGGATACGTTTTTCATGCGTTCCTGGTTATTCGAACACGCTCACTTGAAACGGTACACAGGAAACGGGTTTTTCGCGCAGCTGGGAGTGTTCCTCAAGAAATCCCCATCGCGAGATCTCATGAATCCCGAGAACTTCAGAAACAGTTCAAGAGGTTTTTAGAAAGAGAAAATCTTCAAACACTCGAAACCGTTCTCAGATTTGTGAAATGTTGAGTTACAAAAAAAATATATTGATTCAAACCTGTTCAGTTGAAATCACTCCCCAACGAATCCTCATGGCAGATTTCTCTGTGATTTTTGCGACCTTCATAAACGTTTCAGTACTACCTTCCTCTACACGAATACGGTCTCCTCTTCCCCACAGGTCCGCTTTTGAGGAAGTTATGGTCCTTCAAAGACACCCCACTTTGCTGAAAACTCGCGTTCCACATGGCTGGTCCTGCCCAGAATCCCTCCCCCGGTACCTCGGCCTTTAATCAGCTGATTTGCTCTCGTTCGTATTTACTCTTTCGTATTTATCTTCTTCTCGGTTTATTCGAATATCGAATATTTATCTTCTTCTAGTTTACTCGAATACACGTCAGAGCGCGCCCCAGCAATTTTGCTTGGACCGCTCAGAGTGCTCTTAGGAGGAATTGGCTTGATTTCCTTTTTTTTTAATTGCAATTGATTCAGGTACCAGAGTTTGTTTTGACTCGAGGGAAGGTGGGTGAAACCTAATGGCCTTTCTTTTCTATTCTCTTTTCTGAATTAGGATAGAAATGAGCAAAAAGCGAGGGGGGCCTCATTCAGGATTGTTACTTTTTCCATTTTTCGCGCTTACTTATACATAAACTTATGAAGTTTCTTCCTCCTCGGGGGGGGGGAGGGGGAAGAAACTTCATAAGTTTAGGTATAGGGGGGGGTCGTACCGAACCCTCAAAAAAGGGGGGTCGTACCGAATCCCCCCAAAAAAAGGGGGGGGGGAGGGTCGTACGGGCTTCACCAACATCCCCATCGAATGGTATGCCCTGATCTGCGGCCACATTCTATTTTCTCTTTTACGTTCGGCCGGTCACCATATGTAGACATTTTCGCTCCTAGATTCTAAATTGTTTGAAGAATGTGCCGTCAATTCCATTCTGACTAAAAAGGCGGTGATTCCTCCTATTCCTCCTCCCAGACAACTTTTGTATCAGAATAAGACGAAGAAGCGTTCCAATCTCAATTCGTTCTTGTCCGCGGTGATGCGGCGATGATCGATCCTATAGCCCGTTGTGCTGGTACCATTCTTTGTTGAACAATTAATCCTACATGAATATATTATTCGAACGAGGAAAATCCACTGAAGAAGGATATGGCTGGTAGGTGCTGAAACGAGGGGCGGAAGAAGTGATTGCGGAACCACAACCAGATATTTTTTCTTCAATTTGTGGGAACTGCCATGGACAATGATTTACCTACTGGCCTTATTTTTGTCGGTAAACGAAACCAACTTGCGACAATGCCTCGAATGTAACGATGTTTATTGCAACACTTTGTAAATAGGACCCGTTTTACATAAATATGTGAGCGTTCAAAAAATAGGTGTACAATTTCTATATGGTTACTGGAATAGTGCTCGTTCGAAAAAAAAATTCATTTCATAGAGCATCTCCTCGTTTCTTGAGGTTTAAGCGGACCCTATCTATGGCAATCCTAAGACGCTACCGGGCCATGAAACCGACCAGGTTAGCTAACCAAGTCAGGGATATAGTGATAAAAGCAATGAACATGTGCGGTAAAACAGCGATATATCGAACGGCTGAGGCAGCCGGGGGCGGTTGCTGCAGGATCAGATGACTTTCTCCAGAAATTGTGGCTATCGAACTGATCGAGCGTCTTCTAAACCTCCAACTTTATTTGCCAGTGTCTTGTCGTCTGAGTGGAGCAAGTGTTTGGGCACTCACCTGTACCGATTAGATCGTGGAGGGGAGCTTCGCGTGGTGATGTCACCATTACAGTCGAATATGGCCTTTCTGGCTCGTTCCCGTCGAAGGAGCAGCTTGGCATCTGCAGAAACGGGATGGATTGGAACGTCGAGGTAGGCATTTTCAGAAAGACATGGCCCTTTTTATTTCAACGCATCTAAATTTGAAAGGATTTTGCGAATTAGTCAACCCATGAAATGTGCTGCTCTTTAATTGAGAACAGGGTCAGACGCGTATCGCAAAATCCAGGAAGGGGGGGGGGGCTTCCCAACAAATTCCATTACCGTGACCTACCTGAGGCGAGCTTATCGTTATGATTCTACAACCGGGCACTCGCCAGGGAGGATTTATGCTCAATATGCCTCACACATAGACCTTCACTTCTGTACGATCATCTGAGCCCCTTTTTCTCATCTTGTTGAATCGAACAACTCAATGAATTTTTCCAGAAAATTTCCGTCGAGCGGAGAGGTACTTTTACAAACGATCAACTGTCAGAATCAGCAATTGTGCAGTATCGCTGACTAGGGTAAGGGTGGAGAGTGAACTTTGGAAATCAAGAATCGGAGAAATTTTCTTCCATCCAAGTAAAACACTACCCCTATGCTCCAGCACTTGATACGACCCCCCTCTCTAGAGATTCCCCGAGGTATAACGTGCCCTGAGTCAGAAGCTCGTTGTGGACTTTCTTATTGTCGTTGTCATTTACATAATGGCTATTTATTCAACACTATTCCTTACTCAGACCCTCACTGTTTTTGGAAAGTGTCCATTCAAACTAAATTTCTGTAAGTTTCTGAGACATACCAAGTGTCTGTGGAGGACATATCACTCTGGGGACCTTTTGCTCGCTCGCTATCGATGAGCTTTTGCGGCTGTTGGAAGTAGAAGCGAGAGACGATCCGGACGGTTTTTCTTGCAACAGGTAGGGCCTTGGAGTCACCTTCAGTCCTTCTTCTATTCGAACCAACCGCATCAATTCGTTCATCGGTAGATGATTACTGTAACGATTGAAAACCCAAAATCCATAACACATCAAGACATTAAAATTTTGTTTGAGTTCTCTTTTAACAAACCCGAGAGTGTGGAGTATTGTTGGACATTATAACAAATTCACTGAAGCGCTGATTAATGAAGTGCGGTACGTACTTGCAATGATCTCGAGATGTCCTTGCTGTGGTGAACTCATCTGGTATGTCAATGATAACTTGACTAGGAGACGATGAGGTCCACGGATGAGTTGCGCAGACCACACGACCATTTACGGCCATTTTTGGGACAGTCAGCATGTGTTTTCCATTTACGGCAATGGTGAAAGGCGATTTTGCGTCCTAAATAAGACGTTTAGAGGAGTTTCGAAACTGCGGAAGACTTTTTTCAGGCTGCGGGTATTAGACTGAAAGCTTTGAAAGGTAGTTTCCGGGAAGATCGAAAGCGATTCCGAGGGGACTATCTGGTGACAAGATGGCGCCTTTGCGTTCAGTTCTGTGATGTGGAATTTTAGCAGCGAAAATTGCAGCAATAGCACTTCCATCTCTCGGAGCCTGACTATTGTTTGGTGGCAGTAGGAATTACTTTGTTCAGTTCCAAATGGGAATGAGCACAGGCTATAGACTGAACCCCCCGATCCACCATTGATTCAACAGGGTCGTTCGATTGATGGCAAGCTCGCATGTGAAGTCACCACCATGAACATACTTCGAAGTAATGGCCCAAATCTCTATGGTCTGAAAATCTTACAGCATTACATGAGATCCGAAAGCGTGGCAGATGCTAGAAAAAGTGTCCAGTGCCAACAGTTCCATCTTTTCCCAACTCGAAAGTCAAACAACGTTTGCGCTATTTATAACCCGAACCGCTGACTTTAGAGTACACGAAAGGGTAATCATGCAGTCGCTTGGCAAAACAGAACAGCGGAGTTTAGATTTCCTCCCGCATGAAAAGCAGTAGGGTTAGAATGGAAACTTTGTTTAGGTTGAACAAATGTTGACAATCACCGCTAGCATTGGGTGATGAATCAAGGATTATGTAAAAATACAATACAAAACTATAACTCATAAGAAGCCAGGTGACATCATCGAAGGGACGAACCTGATTTTCCGACGTCTCACGCACGTCCTTTATGCAACAACAAATCGGCAACCGCAACAGTGAAGGTGACATTCCTGAAAAACGTTCTCATAGCAAAATCCGGAACAGACGGCAACATTTGAAGGAGAAGGTACGCAAGCGGGAACAAGAATAAGAGCAGAAACCCTATCGCAGTGAGCTAATGACCAGAACCGAATGACTGTTGAAGTTTGAGACTGTTGAAGAGTGCTCCTTATACAATTAGGGCGTTAGTAGCGCGGCGCGTGTTATGCACCTTCTCTCCACACTTTTGGAATTAATCAGGAATTTTCCGCTGAGATGAAAGTGAGGGAGCAGGCATCAAAGTTTCTATTCGCTGATCAAAGACCGCTAGGGCCATGCTAGTCTGGCACAGAGTGTTCCTTGACGCTGTTGTATATGAGGATGAAACACTGACTCGAACATTAGATTGTGAAGAGCACATGTAGTACCGATTTCTCATTTGAACGCCACCTACGCCTCTGAAACTTTGAATTAAAGTTGTCTCTGGGTCACACTCTGCAAGCGCAGCGAAGCGGGCATATTCATACATACATATTCTAAGCCCATAAAGAAACGTGCAAATCGTGGGAGAAACAAAACGTAAAGAGAGGTAGTCACGTGGGGAAAGGTAAGGAAACAGGCATTGTGTCGAGTGGAATGTGGAAGTGGGAGTAGTCGGAGCAGAAAGCAGACCCAATACTTCAAGGGCAACGAGGTCAGACCGGTGGGGGTGGCGCATGTTGGGGCGTCAACCGTACCCATAACTCAGTACACTTTTAATATTATGTCGTATAATGTAGCTAACGATAAACAGTATCATCTACTAAAACAAAGATCGAACAATGTCTGAAGCAGCGTAAGACAAAGATCACAAACACCTCAACGGTAACACAGAGATCACCCCCAAAAAACGGAAACGTTGAGTGAGGCGGCCTACTGGAACAGTCGTCAAAACATGCCGTTTAGCTATGGCCTTGTCTTTTCCGAGGAAAAACTGTTGATCAGCGAGGTCACGCCTCATTCAGAGAGCTTTTCCATGGTTGACCCATTCGCTGAACCTCAGAATGGTACTCTTTCAAATGGCCCTTCTTGGCTGGAGGTTCTAGTTGAACCGTCATCCGAGCTGGATACCTCTAGACTCTCTAGATATCTCTACTAGGAGCCGAGCAGCTCATCTCAACTTTGTATGGTGGGGTAACGTAGTTGACGTTCTCCTATAAGGTGTGCCTCTCATTCCTCTTCCAACCTCAGCAGGAGAATTATAGTGCCGAACAGATGCCGAGGAGGCTTTTTTTCGGCTGCGAGGGTTCAGGTTCGCGTCTACCCACGAACTTAAAGACCTATCAATGTTCGGAAGCGTCATTCGTTTTGATCACAGTGAAACATGAGCAGCGGGCTGGTGATGTTGTCCTTTTCAACTTGTTGTCAGGTCGTTGGCCGAATGGCATGATTGTCATCTGATAATGTTGATTGGTAAGTTCGTTAAGCGATCATCGACCAACAGGCCAAAGGGGTTCCTCGAAAAGACCTTATGCAGCGTGTCGAGTTTGTTTTTCAGGTACTTTTGCAGTGCATTTGTTTTTCCACAATTCATGGCTACATGGAGGGCTACCTGAATTACGCTTTGTTTTCTCAAACAATACTACTAGAAACCAGAACTGTATAACTGCCTCATTTTCTGGAATCACCTATATTTTGCTTTTGTTTTGAATACTTTGTTCGAAAACGAAGCGCAAGAAGAATATGCAAAAAAGACAGGAAGACAGTTGCTGTGTTTATCAAATTTTCGCGCACGCTATCGCGTGCGACTCTGTGGAATGCGCCCCCTATACCACAGAAAACAGGGTAGAAATCCATCACCTAGGTCCAACAGAGCGTGCAAGACCTAGCGGATTGATATCGCTTCTACAGGGTTTTGAGGAAGCAAAGCTCCTGATGACAAGCACTGCCGATCACTTGCAGTGGACCGTAATGGTTAGAAATGTTGTGGTAAGTCAGGAAAGTGAGCGACTCCCACAGTACATGGGATTGTCACCGGCAAATCAATTCCAGCAGGAGCTGCACTTTTTAATGCATTCCTCACGTGAGCGACCTGAGTCGTTGCTAGCGCTGAGCAACACTACCTGAAGGAAATGCAGAGGAAACGCTAGCGATTGTTCCGACATGCGACTTAAGTTGTTGTAGAAACACAGGAAAATCGAGGATTTCGTGGGAAAGTAAGCGGGCTAAGGGTGGCTGCTGTCCTGGTCCGCACAAGAAAAACTTCAGAGGATAGCTGGTGTTCAACTGAACGTTTTGTATTCTCGCGAATATATCCGGTACTGAATAAAACGCATTGGAGACGCAGAAGGTCCGTGGTTACGTCACTACTCAACTTTTTTGCATGGCCTTGCAAAATTCTGCAGCGCGAGCAGATATACTAGTGCTCGAAAGGTGCAGAAGAACACGAGGCAAACCAGGAGAGGGTTTTTCAAAGGGAAGGGAGCTGTGGGGTGTGTGGACCTCTTATCATCCGTGAAAAAAATGGAATATGGGAGATTCGCAATAGTCGTAGGACGATATGATGACGATGAGCAGAAAAGAACAGAATATTTACAACCAAAGGGAATGAGTTCAAGTTAACCGCAGACCGACCTGGCCACTGCGGGAAGGGCTCCAGCTCCGTGAACCTCTCTTGATATCGTCCCTCTTCGTTCACAGTCTGCGAGCTCAATGAATCGGAGATACGGCAAAAAGCTGTAAGTACGTACTGACCGAGAGCACCGTCCAACGCTCTGATGGAACGTTGGCGGACGCGCCAACGAGAAACGGGCTGGATACGTATCAGTTTCGCTGACTTCGATCAGGAGAAGAATAGGTGATCGGACTGAGCTGGCCTTTCGCGCGGGGGAAGCGCAAGTTCTCTGGGTCAATACGTATCCAACCCTTATTGCGATAGCGCCGAATTCCCACGCTCTGCCCGCTGATTCTGCTTGTCGATACACACCAACACCATTTTGCGTGAGCGTTTTTTTCTCCGACTCTTCAGGGTCGCAGACGTGAAGAACGCCTCAAGCCATTCCATGAAGATTTTTGACTATTATCCTTCGAATGCCCTTATCACCTTCAATTGCTTTCTGACACTATGATACCGATAGTTATATTGAAATGCATATTAATTGCAAATAATCATAGTTGATCACGTCGCAGTCCGGCAGGCGGCGCCAGGAGGGGCGGACTGAGCCCGCCTACGGCAGCTTTGCTCTACCAATGGTGATTGTTTACGGTCGATTCCTGCAAAAAAGAACCAGTGATGACAAGGTCGGGTAACATAATGAG